ATATACTTTTGTATTGTTTTATTTATATCCTCTCTTCCTATATATTAATTCAAAGCGTATTGAGCCTAAGTGGTAGACTCACATGCTTCGGGATCCTATGTGGTAAATTTACATGCTTCGTTATTAAGTTTGGGTAGATTTTATTTTACTTCCGATAAAAAATTATTAGATCCAGATTATCCATAAATACCGTTGATTATCTATGGTCATGGTACATGTATTAGTTGCATTTTAATATCATCATTTCTTATTATAACCATTGAATTGTAAATATATTTTAAAAGTTACTAACTTTTTTTATTTTTATCAGTTTCACATATATAATATATCAAATTAATCATCTATTGATAAACTTCGATTTAACATCCATATTGTATGTATAAAAAAAATAAAGTATTTATCTTTATAACAATAATAAAAATATTTTTTAATATTGATTAGAAAATCAAATTATTTACCATTTAATATTTTATATTTCAAGTAGTTATATAATATAAGTTATAAAGTTACTATAATATAGCGCATATAGGTCACCCAAGCAACAAATGTCATTTTAAAATATATAAAAATATATATTATTTATAAAATATTAAATTAAATTTTAACAATTTTTATCATTAATTTTAAAATTTAAAATAATTTTTTAACAAGAAACCGTATAATGCACGGGTGTTGTATTCGTTATAATTTATGTGATCAGTCAAACAAGTGTAATTTTAGCAAAAGGAACCACTGAGTTTTCATCAATTAATAGTAATAGGAAGGGAAAATTCTATTAAGGCTTGATTTTTTGTTATTGTGTCATCATAACGCCTAAATTTTCAACTTTTTTATTTGAAGGTTTAAATTTTAAGTTACTCTCAATATAAGGCCTAATTTTACATTTTACTTTTCAATTTAAAACTCCAAATCACTTTTTATTTTGATATATTTATTTAAATAAGAAAACTTTTTTAAAATTTATTTTTTACGTACTTATAATGAAAAATATTAAATATTTTTAATAAAATTATCTAATAATATAATTATTTCATAATTTACATTTATTCAAAATCTTATTAAAATTTATTTTAAAAGTTCAAAATTAATTTCAACTTAATTTTAATCAAAATATGTGATAATATTAAAATATAAATTATTTAGAAAAATAGTTTTATTTTTTTACATAAACTTATAGAAAAAATTATTTGTGAATAAAACTAACTACATAGAATTTTCCGAGTATTAATTTTATATATTTTTAACTTTTTAAAAAATATAAATTTTATTCACAAATAATATTTTCTATAAGTATACTTAAAAAAATAAAATTATTTTTTTAAATAGTTTATATTTTAATGTTGTCACACATTTCCATTAAAATTAAGTTAAAATTTGTTTTTTAACTTTTAAAATAATTTTTATTAAACTTTTGCGTAAATGTAAATTATGAAATAACTAGCTTATTGGATAATTTTATTATAGATATTTAATAATTTTAATTATAAGTACATAAAAAAAAATATTTTTTTTTAAATGTATTTTTATTTACATAATTATATTAAAATGCAAAGTAATTTGAAGTCTGATATTAAAATGTGGAATGTAAAAATAGACCTTCTAATGAGAACAACTTAAAATTGAAATATTCAATTAAAAAGTCAAATCTTATTAGCACGTAATAACGAAAAGTCAAACCCTAGAATGGAATTTCTCATACCGGCAATTACAGCGGCCGACAATAAATTCAAATATCTTGAATTAGTATTAGCAATTATAGCGGCCGACAATATATTCAAATATCTTGAATTACTATTTCCAATGTGTGCGATAATTTATATTGAAAAATTGGCAAAATCAATCATGAGAAGTGGGCAGGCAGGCAGCAGACAACTCGAGTAGCTGTTACCAGAAATATATATGAGCTGTTTGACTTTGATTTTCAATACAATGCGCAGCTTGTCTTATATGTGTGTGTGATATATCTGACTCAGTAGTATTAAGGAGCCAACAGTTGATTTCGTTGTGGAGCCAACAATTAATTGAATAACTTCATGTGGGGCTGTCCCACATTAAAATATTGTAGGCCAGCCCCATCTAGAATTGTGTCCTTGGTTGTTGGCTTCATAACATAGTCAACTATTGACTCTTTAGCATTATTGATATCTCATTGCTGTCTTCATCTCATACGTCAATGTCGACCCATTTAAGAAGTTTGCCGTGTCGAGCGGGCATGTTAATCATCCACATCATTTTTTTTTTATTATTAATTAATATTATTGTGAATGCAAAATATTTGGCATTATCTTTAGTTGTTAGTAATGATGGAATATATGTTATTTTCTTAATATTAATATCACTCGCATAATTAAAAGTATAGTTAGATGGATCCTTTATAATATTTATTTATCTACATAAACAATGAGAGATGATTTCAATAATATTTATGTTTCTACCTAAATTCACATAAAATTTGATATATATGCAGATATGAGCCAAGTAACCGATGGCTATCTCGATCAAACCATCGATTGGGTACCCGGCATGAAAGACATCAAACTAAGAGACTTCCCGTCCTTTATCCGAACCACGGACCCAAATGACATCATGCTCAACTTCCTTATCCAAGAAACTGGTGCCATCCCAAGAGCTAAAGCCCTTATCCTTAACACGTTCGATGCATTAGAGAAAGACGTTCTGGAGACTCTCTCCTCCATGTACCCGTGTGTCCTCCCAATCGGACCCCTCCACCTCATGACCAACCACATTAATGACAAACGACTCGACTCCATGAAATCGAGCCTGTGGAAGGAGGACTCGGACTGTATCCAGTGGCTCGATACGAAAGAGCCTAAATCGGTCGTGTACGTCAACTTTGGGAGCATCACTGTCGTGACGGCTCAACAACTGACAGAATTTGCGTGGGGCCTTGCGAATAGCAAGTACCACTTTCTATGGATCGTACGACCCGATATCGTGGCTGGCGACTCTGCAATGCTCCCGCCGGAGTTTCTAACTGAGACGAAGGATAGGAGCATTATGGTAAGTTGGTGCCCTCAGGAACAAGTGTTGAGTCACCCTGCAGTTGGAGGGTTTCTGACGCACAACGGCTGGAATTCGACGTTGGAGAGTATAGTGGGTGGGGTCCCTGTGGTGTGCTGGCCGTTTTTTGCCGAGCAACAGACGAACTGTCGGTTTAGCAGCGTGGAGTGGGGAATCGGAATGGAGATTGATAACGATGTGAAGAGGGATGAGGTGGAGGTTTTGGTGAGGGAAATGATGGGGGGTGAGAAGGGGGAGAAGATGAAGGAGAAGGCCTTGGAATGGAAGAAGTTGGCGGAGGAGGCGGCTATGGTTGGGGGCTCTTCCTACTTGAATTTGGACAAGTTGATCAAGGAGGTGCTTTTGAAGTAACAAGTGGGATGGAAAGATAAAAACACAAGTTTGTTTAAGTTTTTTTTTTTTTTTTTTTTTTTTTTTAATTCTAGTGCTTTTTCTTCCGAGTCATGTGAGTTTTATGTCATCATTTGCTTCATATTTAATGGTTTGGAATCACACTCTAGGCAAGAACAAGTAATACATTTGAGAATTTATTTTGTTTATCCATCCATTGTATTTTTTATGTATTATGAGGTTAGCGTTGATACCCGCATAGTGATGATCTAGGAATTTCTTTCAGGGGTTTAATTTTAAATGTTATAACGAGTTTGTAGTTTAAGTCAAAATACTCATTTCGTTTAAAAATGTATTTACTATAATTATAAATATGAAAAAGTGTACCATCAAGTTTTTAAATTCTTAAAATCCTTACTACTAAACAAAAAAATATGAGATTTCATGTATTTATAATTTAAGTCCAATATCTATATAGTTTATGAAAAAATGATTTTTTTGGTTGACAATTCGATTTCAATTGAATTTTTGGAGCACATTACATAATATTTTTTTTCTAAGAGCATATCAAATGAACATTTTTTTCAGAAAAAAAATAAATTTAAAAATATGTGATCGCACAACAGAAAATGTAAAAACTAACATTAAAAAATGCAACAATATAACTAAATACAGAGTTTTATAAATCACTAAATCGATTTACAATTAAGAGGCCTTAAATCATTATAAATATTTTAAAAAACTTATCTAGAAATTTTAAATACAAGGAATGTTGGTCCATTATTTAGTAAATAAATGATTTTATCAGTTTAAATTATAATTACTTAAATTTAATTATTAGTATATTGTAAGAAAAAAATACATTTCTATACATATTTTATAGTATTATTTACATTTCTATACATTTTTTAAAGTATTTTAATATATATACATATATATATATATTGGATTTACAAAAAACTGGCCCCCGTACAGCTCCGTCATTGCCCGTGCGATGCACAAGGTGCAATACAAAAAATAATTTGTATTTAAACATTATAAAATTATTTAAGGCAACATGAAATTATATTCTCTACAACATTCTATTCAGTAATAATATGACATTCTTTATTTACTATTATTGTTAATTTCTATTTTTATATTCATTTTTTGTAGTTTTTGACTATTTAATATATAAATTTTATTATTTATAAGTTTATAAAAATATTATAAATGTATAAGATCATATGATATTTGCATACAAATTACTTATATGTGCTTATAAAATTGTCGTTTATCATAGTTTTATATTTTTTTTTAACAATTCATGATTTGCACATTGATTGATAATTGACCAACATTTAACTCATAATATTTATCTTTCGCTATATTTATTAAATGCATTAAATGTTAAAAGCTTTGATAAATAAATTTTAATTTTTAGTAACTTAATCCTTATGCAACAAAATTTTTTTATGGTTAAATATTTTATTTTTATGTTTTCATTTTTATTTATATTTATTTCTTTAATTCATATTTCAACCTATATAATGAGTTACATAGTATCTATTCGAATATATAGATATATTATATATTTCCATAATTATCATGTACTATAATTTAAATTATTATACATTGCTTTTTTATTAACTTATTTTTCATTAATAAAACTATATATAAGAAAAATATATATATTTTTAAAATTGAATAAGTTTTTTAATGTACATAGATACTTCTAAGGTGAAATTATAATTTTGAATTGCACTCGACCATAAATTTTATTTATATTAGTGTATTATTTAAAATTTCAATAGTATTATCATTGTATATATTCAATAGGGATGTAACTTTTTATAGTTAAATTGACTATGTTTTAGAGACTTTTATTAATATTTTAATTTTTTTATTAAGTTATTATGATTTAAGCCTAGTTAAATTGACTATATTTTAAGTACTTTTAAATAGTGAATATAATTAACTAAATTAGTACCTACAACCACAAATGATAATATATTTAATTAAATCGATTTCAGTATTAATTTTATGAATTGTGTCGATAAATTACTATTAATCAATATAAAATCTTATTGAAAATATATCTAATAAAATTTGTAGTTAATGAGTAATAGTCACTGAGTGTATAAAAATTAATTATGTTTTTATAGTCAAATAGCAATTGTCTTTATTACCAAAACCTTTTCTGGAAAGTTGGTATTCGAGAAGATGGTTTTTAGACAAAATGATTATTATTTGGGAAATTTTTGTGTATCCCACGCGGAAGTGAAAATATTTCAAAAATATCATTCATTAACATTTAATTTTGTATCTACCTAATAGATAAAAAGTAACTACATTAATCCCTAGAAAACAGTTACAGATGGTGCAACCACTATTCCCTAATTTTATGCCCATGATTCATGGTTCTGTTAGTAAAAAAAAAAAAAAAGAAAAAAAAGAAAAAGGGGCATGTTGACTTTGGATGCATATCAGAAAAACAGTAGGATTTGCTTAAACTTTATGCCCAATAAATTTGAATTTATACCATATTCATTGTCCCTACTCAAGAGAAAAAAAAGGCCGGAGGGTCGCTCGGAAGTTTCATCAAGAACAATTCACGTAATATATACTGCCAAAAAACGCGAAAGGACGATAAACGTAAGGTATATTTTGTGATTTTAACGTTCATTCAACTGTACATGATTCTGATTTTATCGAAATATACCTAAAATATACCGAAAAAAACTAGGACATGAAATTTTATGAAGAAAAAAAAGAGACATGCCAATCATAAATATTTCTAGTTTATTAACATTATATTTCTAGTTTATTTTGTGATTAATTTTAAAGTTCATTCAACTGTACATGATTCTGATTTTACCGGAAATATACCCTAAATATACCGGAAAAAAACGAGGACGTGAAGTTTTATAAAGAAAAAAAAACGAGACGGGTCAACCATAAATATTTCTAGTTTATTTCTAGTTTATTAACGGTATATTTCTAGTTTATTTTGTGATTTTAAAGTTCATTGAACTGTACATGATTCTGATTTCACCGGAAATATACCAAAAATATACCAGAAAAAATATAATGTCGGTATATATACATACAATACAAACTATAATGATGGTACGTGTATTTTATATGTTTTTCATGATTTTACTAAATTTAAACCACACATATACCGAGATATACTGAATATAAACCATACATATAACAGGGAGAAACGATACAAACACGATACAATATGAGGAGATAAAAATATACCAAAAATATACTAAATATAAACCATACAAAACTGCAAAGTTCTAATTAAATAGTGATCGATAAAATATGAGGAGATGAAGATTAATAGCATGTTTCTTGTTGTGCTTGGACTGGTGCAACCGTATAAAAAACCCATGCCGGGATCGAGGACCGCCCCCATCGAAGGACCTATCCGTCCAAACCCACCACAATACAGGAGCAGGGGAAAGCGTCGACTGAAAAAAAAAATCACATTCCAAATATTTCACCCCTCTTCACAGTCCGAAAATTCCCATCACAATTATGTTCTAATAAAAACATGAAGGTTTTGTACTTATTATTTATTTACATAATCATAAAAAACTCAAAATTGTTTGTATGCAGTTTACTGGTTAAATTTGCTTAAGAAGTAACAAATGCATATGCATCAAAAGAGTTGGATATAGTTTACTCAATAAATATTGTTGATGAAGTTACAAAGTGCAGAATAAACGCACTGCCTACTACTTTTGTCACAAAAAAATTAAAAGACAAAAGATTAAAAATCTAATTGATGGTTACTATTGGATAAATTAGCACTCACCACATACAAGGATGCACCAGCTTTGAATATGTTCCTGAAAGCAAGAGCAACAAGGGTTGTGTATCCACCCGCAGAACCCCTAGTGATGCATAATCTTTGACGATCAACAATTCCACTATCAACCTTCAGAAGCATATTTGTTATCACAAATATAATCTTTGAACGAGTTTTAGACGATTTTGTGTGTGGATTTAGCGAAGCCGGGCACAGGACCTAATCTGTGGTGAGTCATCGCCATCGTTTGTTGGAATTTTTCGAGGAGGATGAGTGGTTTTAGTTTTGTTCATTGAAGATGAATTTTGGGGGAAGTTGTGGAGCGGTTTTGCAGAGACGTAGGGGTGGGTGGTTTTGGCAGGGATGATTTGAAATTGATTGTTCCAACTTTTTAGGTAAGTGGATAATTAATTAATTGAATTATAAATCTCATTATCATTTATAAAGATACTAAAACGGTTATCATTGTGTGTTAAGTATAATTGATAAACTTTAGCTTGTTTAGGTGATTTTAAAAATAAAAATGAAAGGAGCCTAAAATTGTTAAAAAATTAAACATGTTAGTATGAAGTGAAATTTCCTCTTATTATTTCATACATTCATAATAAGTTTCTAAACTTCATCATTTTCATTGCTATTTGACTATAAAACCTATGGACTCCTTTATTTATCTATACTATTATAAAAAGACGAGCGATTTTATAAAAATATGAACGGCCTAAAAAACTATTATTTTGGCATATTTTTAGTGACAAATTAGTAATACAGTAATACTCATCTTGTCTTATATTTTTAACTAACAAATAAACTACCTAAAATACACTTACTTTGACTTATTTTTAATGGCAAATTAATAATACACTAATACTCATCATATCTTAAATTTTTAATTAACAAGTGATATTTAATTAATTGTGATATGAAATATGATACTAGACATGTTTTAATGGATAAGAAGGAATATATTGGAGAATTGAATCCACATATGGGTTAGGATACATGCCATAATAGTAAGGGCCAAACTCAACTTGGGCACTAAGGTACATGATGTAAATATTTTTCCGGAGAAGAATCGAAAGATTCGACACTGGGTCGTGTCTTTCGAGGAAGGTCAGCCGGAATATTGAGCACGTTTATTCATACACGAATAACAGAAATAAAAATCCTAAACATTCTAAATCAGAGTTTGGTTGATTTTTAATTATCAACTACTGCAAGA